CGCGGAAGAATCGCTCGCGGCGCGGTCTGGGCGGTGACTGAGCGGACCGAGGCGTCTCGACGCACGGCATCTCTCCCACCCCCTCGCGCCACATCCTGCACGAGCCTGACGGATACCACTTTTCGGTTGCTCCCGGCTCGCCTTCTGGCTTCGCCTCCTCTGCCGCTGACCCCGCGCCGCTTCCCGGCCCCGTGACATTTCACCGCTATTGTTATTTACACGATCCCGTGCGGATGCTGTCTACGCCGGTGCGTGTCCGGGTGTAATTCGCGGCGGACTGGGCGGGTCTTTCGTTTGACGCCCGTTTCACGGGAATTAATTACTCGGATTTGATGCGGTTGCGAGGATGACCTGTGCATTCGGTACGAAGTGTAGTCTGGATGGTTTTCATACGCTGCTTCGTCATAGATTCGCGGGGGAGATTGTACTGTGGGTATACAGCGATAGAGATCGGCGACAGATCTGCGGATCAGGGAGTAAGGGGATGAACCGTATGGAAGGTGAAATTGATTTGTTTGCAGTCCGCGTTAGATGAAGATCGCGTGAAAGGGGAATCAGAGATAGAGAAACGATCGCGAGGATTCAGTTCGACTGCTGCCACTCGAACTCGGACGATGGAACTTTTCATGAAGGTCTGGGAATTCTAATTTTTGGGAACATGGCGAGGGAATTTTCTTTTTTCATCAGACGCGAGTAGTTGGGATAGTAGTTGCTGTGGAGAATGTCGCCTTCTCGGAGAAGTACTCTGAGTAATTTGATGAGTGCTAATTTAGTGGTCAACGTTAGTCCGTTGTCCTATTCCTCTCCTGCGCACGCTGGGGTCACTCGTAATCTATTAGAAACGAGGAAGAGTTCCTTAGGCAACAATATCCACGTTCACTTCAAAGCATTGCAACTGGCAACGGGAAGACGCGTAGTTCGCACGCGGAAGAACTGAACGACATTTCTGTTAACTCTCGAGCGTATGCAAGAATAAAAATTCCGGTATACAAATTCTTGCGATTAGGTCAGTGACAGTGAACCTAGCGGAATGAATATGCGCGGTGTGAGTGTCCAAATGACGTTTTGCGGTCCAGCTAGGCTCTCGCAAGTACGCGATTGTTTAGAATTACGTTGTATGATCCACGCAGAAGGATAATATTTCGTAGCCGCGTTCCCGATTTTTAGTAGCGACACATTCATCGCAGACCCGCGAATGAATCCAGATGTCGAGATTCCCAGTTCCTTCTCGGACTCCTTCATTTTCTCTCCACGACAGACGCCGAAGCTTCTAATGAAGCTTATTCTTGGCCGCTGGCTCGTTAAGCCCTTTAACGCCATCGGAACCGGATAAAAATAAAATGGCTTGGAATGTGCTCCGTAGAACTTCGAAGAGATCGCAGGGATATCGACGAAAATAATTGCGAATCGATGGAGATGTCGATTCCCTCGCGAACCTTTCTCCATCTTCCACCTTCTCGCTTTTCCTTTTGTGCTCGACACGATTGTTTCCTTTTTCTCGCGAGATGTTATTCGCGATTAAACGGAAATCTCCTTGGTTTCAAGGAATTATCGGATATAAATTCTCTTAGTTTGTTTTAACCCTTACGGTAGATACAACGTCGTGCAATTTACGAAAATTTGGTTTGTAAAAGTGCTTTATGAGGATCGAACACTTGTTTAAACTGCTTGAACACTTCTTGCTTCCTCGATGCTAACGGCGAATAAGTGATAGTAGCTACTTTAAGTAGACAGTAGCATGAAATAGCAGGTTAGAATGTTTTTTTTTCAGTTTCGCAGGAAAGTAATCTGGTTTGTTAATTAATCGAAGGTATTACGCTAATTGGGCGAAGCAAAGATTGCAGGTGTTTACAGTCGATACAGGGTTTTTACTTAGTGTCCGCCAGGAGGTCTTGCTTCGCGAAGTTTCTAGATAGTTCAGAGTAATTGGAAGATCATCCCTTCAAACAACTTTATCGATGCTGAAGAAACATCCTCTATTTCGATGGCACTGACTCTACGCGAGTCTGATAGTTAATCTAGCGGAAGCGTTAATTAATCCCGCGGTTTGTGGCCTCCGTTCTTCTGCGAATCTGTTTTTATAAAACAAATATTCGTCGACTCGGTTATCTCTGACGATGAGGAGAACACTTAACCCTGATGCCCTCTTCTACCCGCTGTGATTCTGTTCTACTTGTTTCTGGCTACTTGACCCAAAATCTGCGTTTATTTATCAACGTGCACGATACTTCGTGTAAAAGCAGCCCTGATTACCTATTCCTCATTGTACTGTCACTTCAGTTTACGAAAATCGTAACAAAGAACCCATAAAGATAGTGGAGTTTATTTTAAAATTCCTATTCTCGATTATGGGACGGGGGAAACTAATACAGTCGCTACAATTGGTATATTTATCCGTTGAAAATGGAAGGAGAGAAATGAACAGGCAGGAAAGTGAATCGCTAATCTGTAATTTGAAAACCAATTCGAACCGATCTTCGAAAGATTGAAGAGAACGATTCGAAGAAATCTATTCCCCTGTGGGATTCCACAAGCGAGCATGTCCCACCTCGAAAGCATTCTCGTGTTTTCCAAAATCCACCGTCCGAATCTTCAGTTTGCCTCGAAATGTATCGGAATTTCCCTCGCGATTTTCAATGTCTCTTTCTTGGATCACGTCGAGCGGATTTCAAGGGAAGACGGTCGCGAAGCCGTGGCGATTTTACTTTAATAAAACCCGATATCGTCCCGACTGAATAGACGATGCGCATGCATATTAAGCGGTGGCTTAAGGGCTGATTTTTAAGATCGTCCTTCGTTCTTTGCGTCGCGAGTCATTGTTCTTGCAAAAATGGAAATTCGCCGGCACAGATCCCGCCCGAGTGTTCAACCGTCGACTGCGCGGATTATAAGAAGATGGCCGTTTAATTCCTCTGTTGCAATTGAACTTTGACTTTCGACGCTGGAAAAATGTCCTTCAGGATGCATTCATGCTTCGAAAACACTTTCCTATGAGTCGCATCCTTTTTCTCCCGAATCGTATCGCTGGACCATAGTAAAAGAAATGGTACCAGTAGTACCATTTTAGTGGTTGTTGATTGTACAAGTAATTTTAATACTGGTAAATAGTACTTCTTAACACGTTGAATGCCATGGGGGTCACCAGTGACCCCAACCAAATCGAATTACTATGATACTATGATTGTTCTATAGAAACCCCAATAGTACAACTATTAAGACTTCAATTGGTTTGCAATTTAATTTTTTTATTGCTAAATTATTTTCTTCAGTAGCTTTTCAGAGAAGCATCCGTTAACTGTTCGATAACTGGGAAAAATGTAATTAGGAATCAGTCATTTTGACCCATCCGGTAGTTGGAGTAACATTGAGGTCTTCCGTAGTTCACGCCTGATCCTTTTATTCGGGTAGAGTTCGCTAGTGCGATAGGCTGTGTTCGACGGTGTCGGTATTTCAGAATGGTAGACCGAAAATTACATCGCAGAAATTATTTGTACGAGCTCGAAGCATTTGTATTTTGACCTTATTAGAGTGTGATGCCATAGAATTCGATAATGATGCGAAATAATGTGTACATTGCAAACGTTATTTGGTGAGTACAATATGGAGAACATTCAAAATGGACTCCATGAACAGGATCGTAATTCGAATTTGTAAGCTTACCGTTCTGACTTCTTTTTTATCGAAGCAATTACTCGGTGAACATGCTCTCGTCCATTGTTGCACCATGGATCGTTTTACTATTATATTATACGTTATCAAGTAATTTAGTCAACTAATTCCGTTACTATCGAATTGCTCAGAAGATTGAGTGTGTGCAGGAGAACCCGCGGGAACACACTTGACTCTTTAATACTAACAAACTACGAAATCGTATGAACTATTTAGATTACTTTAACAGATACTTAACGTGAATCACTAAAGTCAATTTCAGTTATTGTGTTTAGCACTTTTTCGTGTTTCTTCTACGTTTTTTAAACAAAAGTATCAACGCGTTCAGTCGTTGGAGCGTCACACTCGAAACTAAAGTTTGAAACTAAGAGAATACTACACTAGCGCTATGGTTAAACTAGCGCCGCCTGTGTTCGATTTTTCGAACTTAAACAGACACAGCCTATAAGAACTTCAGATAGGTGCATGCGTTATCTTCAAAGTAATTATATGAAATTGTAACAGTTGAAGGGCTCTTGAATTTAATATAAAAACTTATTTCTATTTTACTATTTGTGCTGTGAGAAAAGTAGTGATAAAAAGAAATGGCAACGACTTCTTATAATAACGAAGGTAACATTATTTCTATTCATCTTGAGGTTTACATTATGTTTCTGAGGTACTTGTCAAAACTACCAAGGTTAGGATATTTTGTGTTCGCCCTTAAAAGATTGTTATAATGATATAATTATTATTGATCGTTGTATTCTGATGACGTTTCACATTCCTTGCAAGTTAGTACTTTTTTTTATTATGTGTTAGTGTCAAAGTGTAATTACACATTGAAACAAAGTGTGTACTGAAGAACATTATTAAACAATAATTTTTTTTATTAATTTTACTGAGTTTGAGTAGTAAAAACAATATAGGAAATGTGATATGCTGAGTATAAAGTGTCCTTCCTTGGTAATGGTAGGGTTGAAGTTTAAGTTTATACAACTGAGAAATTTGCATTCTCTTATGCAAGGTGTGGTTAAGAAAAAATGTCCTTACATGGAAAAATGTTATCGAAAAAATCCAATTCACTTTAACGAGATGTCTCATCCACATTGTGAGTAATATTTATTTATTTTGTGCCATCTAGTAACCATGATTCGGATTTTGTAAACAGGAAAGTGGATACTTTGTTTCAGTGGAGAAACTTTTAATAAACCAGTTGCAAGGAGAAATAAATGTACCTGAAAATCTTGATTTTGAATGTTCTAATCGATCACTTTTAATAGACCAATTAAAAGTATTACAAATGGTATTAAGAAAACAAAACAATAACAGCAATAGTAGCAATCAATCTGCTACTAAAGACCCAACAACTACAAATAAAAATCAGTTGAGTCAGACTTTAAAAGAAAAAGTAGAGAAACATAAACAAACAATGAGTCAGAGAAGGGATAACAAGTTGAAAGAAATGGATGATAAAGCAGAAGCACTTTTTAAATCTTCCTCTGACAATGATGAAAGTTCCTTAGATATTAATAAAATTAATGTAATGAAGAAAGAATTACATAATCTTAATGTAGCAGAGGAAAAAATTCAACAAGATGAGTGTTCTCAGGGAAAAAAAAGACATAGTGGTAGTTCTAGTAATGATCACACTGAAAACAAAAGATCTAAGCTAAATCATGATGATAATATTGAACAACATAATCAAAGCTCAAATAAAATTTCAGAAAGTACTCATAATTCTAATTCTTCTAATGGCACATCTTTAATGGATGCTTTTCAACAATGTAAATCAGCAAAATCTAGAGATGAACTCAGAGAGAAAGCTATTAGAATGATGAAACAACAGGGTCTCAAAGTATCAGTGGTTGAACCTGGAAACTTTGCCCTCAAGTATGCACTTTCAGCGCCTTATCATCTATTTTTTACAAGAGTACAGAATTCAAAAGAAACATATGATCAACAGTTTTCAATAACATTTCCTGAAATCCTAGATAATAGTTTGGGAGAAATTGTCTCCAGCTTACAAATTAATTTTATGGTTGATGTTGGGTGGTTGTGTTTACAATATCTGCTGGCTGGTCAGCGTACGGATATGTTAATTTTATTTGGAGAAAGGGTAGATGAAGAAAAAGTAGGGTTGAACATTACTATGAGACCTGTGCAAATGCCAACCAAGTTTGGTTGTCATCACACCAAAGTCATGATTCTAAAGTACAAAGATGATGGTATAAGAGTTGTAGTGTCTACTGCAAATTTGTATTCAGATGACTGGGAGAACAGAACCCAAGGGTGTGTAAAATAATTGTCAATGCGATTTTATATTCGTTTGTTCTATTTTGTTTGTTCTATTTTGTCCTCACCAGACTGTGGATATCACCACATCTTCCACCGCTATCAAAATCCGCAAATTCTGCCGATGGAGAATCACCAACAGGTTTCAAGAAAGATTTCGAGCGGTACCTGCATACCTACAGAGAACCAACTTTAACAGAATGGATCTCTATTGTCCGTAGAGCGGACTTCTCATCGGTGAATGTATTTTTCCTGGGTTCCGTACCAGGAAGTCACAAGAACCAGGAAGCTGATATGTGGGGACACAAGAAGTTAGCCGCTGTCCTTTCTAAACACGCTACATTACCGCCGGATGCCCCACAGTGGCCAATTGTTGCTCAGAGCTCCAGTATTGGGAGCTTAGGCCCCAACTATGAAAGTTGGCTTCTAAAGGAGATAATACCCACAATGTCTAGGGAGACAGCAAAGGGCCTGAAGAGTCATCCGAATTTTCAATTCATTTATCCTTCAATAATGAACTATAAAGAAAGTTTTGATGGTCGAGTTGGATCGTGTTGCTTACCCTATAGCCTTCAAACACATTCTAAGCAAACGTGGCTTGAATCCTATTTATAGTAAGCCAATATTTTTATGTTCATACTGCATTTATTCTAAATAGAAATTATTCGATTTAAATAACGGTGACGTAATATTTTATACATTTTATATGTCTAACAATATCTTTAGTCAGTGGAAGGCTTCGCACACAAGAAGAGACAAAGCCATGCCTCACATTAAATCGTACACGAGATTCTCACCCGACATGAAGAAAATCCCGTGGTTCGTACTCAGCAGCGCTAATTTAAGTAAAGCCGCTTGGGGTACATTTAGAAATTCACAGTACATTATGAACTGTGAAGTTGGAGTTATATTTATTCCAAAATTTATTGTACGTGAAAATAGTAATCACTCTTAGTTAGCATAAAATGGGAAAAGAAACATAGACCACTATTTTTGTAGACTGGATCAACAACATTCCCGGTTCAAGAGGAAGAAGCGGGAATACCTGTATTTCCTATTCCATACGATATACCTCTAACAAAGTACAAATCCGATGATAAACCATTCGTTACGGAATTCTTCAGTGGCCGTGACTAAAAGGATGGCGCTTAAAGGCTGTACAAAGTGTACAGAATCTATACCATGTTGTGTGTTCGAAAACGTATTATGCAACGTGTTTTGTACAAATGAATTTTTTTAATAAACAGTAAGTTTTTAAAATAGTATTCAATGTTACTCGAACAGTCAGTTACATGGCAGAAATAAATTAATTCCGTTCAGACAATCTTTACAGAGGACTGCGTTAATAACTTCCGTTTACGATTTCTACGGACACGGTTGTAATATTTTATGATATTATTATAATGCATCTTTACTAGAAAATAGGTATCAAAACATTGTGTGTGAAATTAAATGCACCACAGTAGCGCTCTGATGACAGCAACGTCCTCTGTTGATCAATTCTGGAATCAGTAACACCGCAATAGACGCTTATCATCGTTGTATAATATCACTGTGCTGTGAAGATTGTCAGTGATAATAATAACAAGTGATTTACGGTTTTCATGTGTAATTTTGTCGAAATTATATGAGAGAAGAAAGTGACAAGTTTTTGTAATACCGATGGTAAGACTTGTTTAGTTAATCCAAAGGTAAAAGTTTAATTTTAACCAAAAAAATTTTCTCCAATTTGGGAAAATAATATTAAAAAATTCTAGTCAATTCAATTAAATGTCATATCCACATTGTAAATAATGTTTGTTTATTTTACGTTCCATTGAAACTACTACTAGCTCTTGGTAAATAAAAAAAGCGGGTCTCTTGATTCAGTGAAGAAAATCATAATAAATCACTTATAAGAAGAAATAATTTAACTGAATGATCTAGTCTTTGATTGTTTTGGTTAGACACCTTTAATGGATTAATAGAATTGAGAAAACAAACGATGACAACAAAATAGCATGCAGTCAACTATAGTAGATAAAAGAGAAGGATAGCCAGTAATAAATCAAAATAAAGATAATCAGTTTAGAAAAATGGATAATAAAGCAGAAACACTTTTTAAGTTTGCTTGTGATGATGATAAAAGCAGTTCAGACACTAATAAAGTGAATGTAATGGAGGAGAAATTAAATACTATTAAGTTAACAGAAGAAATATTACAGGAAGATAAATCCTGTCAGATAAAAGGAGGTGACAATAATAGTTTTACTGATGATGGCAGTGAAAAGAAAAAGTCAGCTGTTGATGAAGGTGTGGCAGGGGGTAATCAAGGTTCAAATAAAACTGCGGATGATGCTCATAGTTCTACCTCCTCAGAAAGAAAATCCTTAATGGAGTCTTATCAAAAATGTAAATCAACAATATCTAGGGAAAAATTTAGAGCACATATAATTGCTATAATGAAAAAGAATGGTAAAGAAGTGGTTGAGCCAGGAAACTTTGCAGCAAAATATGCTCTTGCAGCACCATATCACATATTCTTTCCGAGAATAGAGGACTCAAAGGAAACCTATGATCAACAGTTTTCAATAACATTTCCTGAAATCTTAGACAAAAGCTTAGGAGAAATTGTCTGTAGCTTACAAATCAACTTTATGCTAGATGTTGACTGGTTGTGCTTACAATACGTGTTGGCTGGCCAGTGTGCAGATATGTTAGTTCTGTATGGTACGAGATTGGATGAGGAAAAAGTGAGCTCAAATATGAAGATTATACTTGTGGAGAAGTTATCTGAGTTCACTTGTCATCACACGAAGATCATGATCTTGAAATATATAGATGGGGGTATACGAATTGTAGTGTCTACAGCAAACTTGTATCTTGATGACTGGGAGAACAGAACGCAAGGGTGTGTGAAATCATTTTCAAAGTATCTATATGTTGATTTGCTTGCTTCAAACAGATGACCTTGACAGACAAATTCTATTTTGTTTTGACCAGTCTTTGGATATCGCCGCATCTTCCGCCGCTGGCAGATTCTGCAGTTTGGAGTGCTGGAGAATCTCCAACACATTTCAAAAAAGATTTACTGGATTATCTGCATGCATACCGCTTGAAGGATTTGAAAGATTGGATTTCCATCGTTCGTAAAGCCGACTTCTCGGCGGTGAATGTATTTTTCCTGGCTTCTGTTCCTGGACAGCACATGCACCGCGCTTCCAACTTATGGGGACATAGGAAGTTAGCCACTATTCTTTCTAAATATATTACCTTACCTCCGGATGCTCCACAATGGCCAATTGTTGCTCAGAGCTCTAGCGTCGGAGTTTTTGGTCCTAATTATAAAAGTTGGGTTTTTAAAGACTTCGTACGTTCGGCGTCGGCAGAGGTGAACAAAGGTACGAAGGGTTATCCAGACTTCAAGTACATTTTCCCTACACGTAAAAGTTTTCTACAAAGTTTTGATTTCCCAACTGGAAGTACTTGTCTGAATTACCCCAGGGAAAGACATGCTCAACAAGAATGGCTAGAATCCTACCTATAGTAAGTAAACCTTTAAAATCTTCACTGTTGCATTCAGAGTATCCCGTAATTGTTGGTACCGTCGATACAGTTAATCGGGAATTAGATGCTTCACTGTTTCCATCAACTCCTCGAAAACGTGGCCTGACACAGGAAAATTGTATCCTATGCTTCCGATTCGTTTCGTTTCCTTTTTATTCGAAACCCCTCGTTTTCCGATTAGACCGTCAATTGCTGGACGCATCTTGTATTATTTTCATATATCGAACAACGTTCTTAGCGAGTGGAAGGCTTCGCGTGAGGCGAAAGACAAAGCTATGCCTCACATCAAATCGTACACGAGATTCTCGCCGGATTGGAAGAGAATCCCTTGGTTCGTCCTTACCAGCGCCAATCTGAGTAAAGCCGCGTGGGGGAATTTCCGAAGTTCATATTTCGTTGGGAACTATGAAGCTGGAGTCGTATTCGTTCCACAATTTGTTGTGCGTAAGAATGTGATCACCCTTCATTAGCACGGAATAGAAAAATGAACGTATCGCATGATTTTCGTAGACTGGGTCAACTACGTTTCCGGTTCAAGAGGAAGAGGATGGAGTACCTGTGTTCCCTATTCCGTACGATATTCCTTTAACGAAATACGAACCTGGTGATAAGCCAGCCTACTACGAGCTCGACGATATTGACGATATTGTACTTCATGTGAATACTGTACCTGACTGATCTTCTGCATTTTAAGGTAGCATTGTGCAAATCGTACTGAACAAGTATAATATTATGAATAGTTGAGGGAAAGAATTCATTTCAAATATATTTTTGCTACGTTATTAAAAGAGTGATCTTATTTCCTCGATGATTACTAATCCTACACGAGTGATATATTTTTATAAACATTATACTCTAATATTTTTAATAAATCTAGCATTGTAACGAACGAATTAGTCACACTTTCTGGAATCGTGCAGATAAGATTCCTCGTTAGGGGAGTCCTAGAGCAGAAGTACACTTAATTACATCGATAAGACAAAGATTTTTACAGACGTGCAAGTACCAATAGCTAACTATACGCATGATTTTAAGTAAGATACGTTGTGCACGGGGTGCCTTGACAGGAATATCTATTTGGTGTGCCGAATAAACACTGTGGGAACAATAGAATGGCTTTTAAATCTTGTAAGCATCATTGACTAATTTTAACTGTGTCGCTTTCTTTTCACGTGTAACTTGATGGTACAAATTGGTCTTTATCCGTTTCACTATCGCTCGGTGAAAAAGAAACGTTACTACGTGCTTCCTGGAGCGACACTGTAACCGGCTATAAAAATCGTTAACGATAACACAGACGCTTACTGTTATCGCGGCAGTTCAAGCGAAAGCATCGATACGTTTCAAATGGCGCAATTTCATCGGACAGTGTCTGTTAGGGCACCCGTACACGTTTAAACATGCGGTGAACGTAGCAAGTTGCATGTTGCACTGAAACAACAACGCTGTAGCTGTGTTTGCTTCGCTGGACGTTTGTAATTTTAACAGTAGAACTATCAGACGGGTCGAACTTGACCCATTCCGAAATGTTCACTTTGCGAGTATTTAAATCATGAGCTCCTTTTAGAAATTCCACAGAAAAATGATAATTATCGTATAAAGGCCTACATGACATACTCTTAATATTTAATATTAATTATACTTATATTTACTTATTATTTTTCAAGAAACGTATTGCATCCATTAATACCGTGTACTCCGATTTCAGTGAAACAGGCCGTTTCGTGTCTTTATGAATTCCAACAAATTGAGCTTTGGCCACGGACACATCGACATTTCCCCATTATGGCGTGGCTTCGTTGCACGTTTGTTCCGCGGCGATTTCGTGGCTCGCGGGCCACGCGTTTTCCATAAAACATCAGCAGGCGAGCGTTTCTTTCGCGGCGTTTCCTTCGTGCCGTTGGCGCATGCCTCGCCTTCGAACAACGTTTGATGAACCTTGCGCCTCGCTCTTCCTCGCGCGGAACAATAATTGTTCCATGTAAGCCATGAATTCTGAAACAGTAGGGAAGAATAGGGTAAAACGGAACGCCCATGTTTTTCGTGGAGAACGAGCACGTATCGAGCCGGCGCATAGTACAGTCCTAATAAGACCTCGTTATCATTCGTGATCGATTGGAGATGAGCGCGCAAGTATTATCTACGAGGAACTGTGTTCCATTATTCCCTATTCTCCACTTTCCGACACCGTACGAGTCGTTCACACAGCTGTTTCCAGCGTAACACTAAGAATTTAGCTACCTACATGCTTTTTTAACCTTTTAGCTACTAGCCGCGAAGCGTACAAGGTTTGACACGGTATGTATATCGTAAATGTAATGTCACTGTGATTTGAGACTGACAGAATTCTCCACCTTGCAATTATATTGGATTAAACTATAACGTGCACAACTATCGACGGAGAAAGAATTGCGCCGCTGTAAGCATACCATTCGAGAAGACGATACACGCGGAAGCCGCTGTAGTGGCGTACAGTAGCTAAAAGGTTGAAACGAATGATATTCGCAACAGCGCGAGTCCTCAACATGTGCGACTTTGGAAACTATTAGCATAATACTGCGAATGCTGCGTTGAATTTTAAAGCATGTCCGCGTTTGTTCGCGGGTAAATTTAATTTCCTGTAATTTTTACACGCGGCGCGCGGAGCTTTCGCAAGACGAGTCCGCGAGCGAATTAGATCTCTAATTTCCGAGCGTCCTTGCGGCGACGGAGCGGTGAAAGACGAAATTTTCCGTCGACCTCAAGGCACCGTCTCGAGCGAACGGAACGGGTCAATTCGAATGCAAATTTATCGAGAGGACCGCGCCTTTTACAAGCTCGTAAATCGATTCAACGCGATCCGTTCAACGTTAACGCGCCACGTGCTGTTCAAGGAGTATTTTTTCATGAAGATCGATTAATTATATCTCTGTCGGATGTTTGTACGCTGATTTTCGTGGAACGGACGTGAATTTCGGCACACGGCCGTAACAAGTGTTCCATTATTTTCACAACACTTCTGCTTAGTTTGTTTGTCATTCGCTCGCCGCTCTTATCTGTGGGTTTCCACTTGAAAAAAAAGTTATTTAACGTTACTTTCAGTTTGCAAACAAATGTATTTCCGTTTCCGGAGTGTTTGGAGTGTCTGGAGTGTTTCGCGAAACACGTTATCGCCGTTCTGTACGCGGCGGATTAGCGTGTAAGGTCGCCGTTAATTGTTTTAGAGTAATTTCGGCGATGAATATTCATGGATCGTCGAAGCACTTGCGGCTTTAACGATCGACTAATCTTTTTCTTTGTTTTATGTATTAATTTCCATCGATCACGGTACAGGTTAAACGATGCAAGTGTATTCTGATCGACTCGATTTATTCCGCCGTCAATCGAGCTTTCGTGTTTATTGATATTAACCCTTTGCGGACAACCGCCACACATATGCGTTCTGCATAAACTGTCAATCTGGCTGACGAACTCATATGAGTCGCTCAGAAGCCAATGGCGGTTAATCCTAGGAAACAAATTGAGAAAATTAATGTTTCGACTCCTGAAATTATAAAACATATTCAGGAGCTACGAAAAGAAGGGCTTTCTGACCTGGAAAAAGCTAAGACACAAGTGAATCATTTAACAACTAGAAAGAAGATTATTTATTCCATGAAAATTTAGAGAAATCAGAAGATATCAAAAAGTCGACTTAACCGCAATGACTTCTGAACGACTCGTATGTACTCCACGTAAACACATTGCTGTGGCCGATGAACCTATATATGCGTCCGGCGAATACAGTTGATAGAACCAAAAGAACATTTCATTTATCCTGCGGAGAATCTGTGCGTGTACACGTGTCCAAAATTTGTCATCATGGGGTGCTACGAGCAATAATAACGCGTAGACGGAAACACGCGCTGGCAATTTCAAACTGGTTGGCTTCGAACCTTGCAGTCCATAAGGGGTTAACGCGACGATTTATTAATAATTATCGAACAAACCGATGTCTAAGTGTTTATAAATACGGCGTGATTTTTCGATAAATCGAAATATAACGGTCAACCGGCGTGAAGACCAAGGACACACGTGCCGAATTATATTGCAATAATTTGTTTTCACCTGTCGTTCCTTTCTCGACATTTACATATTTAACGTTCGAATAGACACCTTTTTGCAGATTATCGAAGACGGTTTAAACCGACATTTATTTCTGTTTCCGAAGAGTTCGAGGTAATAAAGCAAAAGCTCACCGAAACTTCGAAACTTTCCATCGGAGCTTGTTCCATAACTTCCCTAAAACGTGTACGCACGAACAAATGCGCGAAGGTTCACGGTTTACCAACGTTAATTCCGAAGATCCGATTATCGGCGTAACTAAAGAATTCAAACGAAACACGCTCGAATTAAAGCTTAACACGTTCGCGGCCAACGTTCGCTGCGCTTTACGCCGCGCGTTACGATTTAAAATACAAACACACGTGAAAGTAATCTAATATTCCTCGCGCGAGCTGCAAAATATTGAGCGCCACAAAACAGCGACGCCGGTCACGAACGTGTTAACAACTAGGTTTGCGTTTATCCTACAATGTGCTCGATTATGCTCGGAAACATTGGCGCTCCATTCATACCTTGCGAATTAGAGCTTCGAACATACAGTTAGGATGAAAATTCGTGAAATAGCGCCGATCGAAATCGCATTTACCAAATCATGTTTACACTCGTATCGCGACAAATAATCATATTCGTGAAATTTCAGCTGAAACCGACAGCGTCCCGTCGACCCGTCGCGAAAGGAAGGTAAGTCGGCTCGGCTCGCAGCCGAGGTTCATCCCAGAATTCCTCTAGATGGCTAGACTCGCCCGATACCTCGACGGTTTTCGCAACGCGTCCGGTATCGACTCGGCCATCCCGACAACGCCTACAAACAACAACATCATTCGCCATTAAGACAGACGCCAAGGATTCTGACGTCAACGCGCGGCGAGGCTTCGCCTCCCACCGAGGGGCGACGGACGGCTTCGGAGCGTTGGGTGTCCTCGGCGCAGATGCGATGATTCTGAAAAGGGACGGATCCCGGCGAGGCGCCCCGACGCCGAGGGCGACGACGAACCCGCGGACGCGTCGATCCGTCAGTCCGCGAGGTGTCGTCGACAGGGACGGACGAAAACCGTGAATCTCGGCTCGGTGCGTCGCATGATCCACGCGTGTCCCGTGTGCGAGCATGTGCGGGTGCGTGCTCTGAGGAATCGGCGCAGGGCGCAGGCCGCGCGAGCGTGCGAGCGTGCACGGGTTTCACGGGTAGACGAGCTCGCGTCGAGCGTCTGGCCATCGATTCGCAACCCCCTATCGAGACAGCTTAAAGACCGATCGCCGCGATAAGATTTCTCGATAGCAGAAGCAGCGCTGCTCGAAGGAACTCGAGGGGAGCATCGGCGAGGTGGCGCACTGCGAATCCCGGCTGCGGTCCTCGGGACGATTTTCGAAGCTGGATCACGAACCGCGAACGTGCCGCGCCTGAGGATCGGACTGGGAGAAAGTATCGAAAGTAGGTTCCGGTTGGATTTCGGGAAACCTTGAATCGTTCTTAGACCCGTCCCCGAAGAGTATGTATCTCGTCCCAGCGTCCGACCGTATGAACATCCTCCTGAACGTTCACCGCGTTGCCACGCGAGCGGGAAGACGGTACCGGCGCCGCGAGACGCGCGCGATCTCGTCGATACCTATTTTCGTCACGTCTCTGCATCGGCGACTCATTGCCAGCTGGCAGGAGCGGACGTCGCGGCTGCGTTTAATACGTACTCTCAATATTTGCGGATCGAACCTGTGCGCGGCGGAGTTTCCTGTTGCCTTTCGCCTATTTGGGGAGCCTGCGCGCGCGATTTCCGATATGCCAGTTCTAGCCGCTCGTTTCCGCGGACAGTGCGCCGGGTTCACTGATCAATCGAAGATGCATCGCGGCGCCGATCGTTGTTCCGCGGTGTTCCTCGTCGAGACCACTTGAGAATCTTCCGCGCGCGGACTCCCCCCCCGGGAACGCGGCGATTGGCGTTCGTGCGTTCATACGTTGCGGTTTCTCGCGTTTCAGGAGTTCCTCGGGTGTAGTTCGAACCGGGCTGGCTCCACGCTGATCGCGTGGCGATCGTTCCTGCGTTTGGCATGACCCGGCTTGGCCCTACAAAATGAGCGTGCCCGCCGTTCGCCGGTGCAACCGTGAACCTCTGCGATGCTAGCCGAGCGGCGCAGCGCTCCGTCGGCGAGATACGTGCCAGGAAACGCCGTCAGCCCCGACCGCGAATCAATAAAGTGGAGCGCGGCTTCACCGCGGTGGCGAGATTCCAAAGCCTGACCACGCGGATCCTGCTTCTCCTGCCACCGGGGACGGAAACGGAACGCCAACCGCCGACAGGATGATCACCTGCTGGGTGCTGACCGGCGTCTTCGGCGCCATCGTGCTCCTCTACGGCCTAATCGAGATACACTACTTCCTGCGGATGTTCTTCACCGTGTTCTTCGCGCGGTTCTGCAAGAAAAGGGTTCACATACTCGACGAGACCACTGTTTACGGTACGTTGCTGGCTATTAATGATTAACGGGTAAACTTCGGTCAGCGGGTTCAACCTTCGTGTCGACCGAGAGGGTCGCGTTTGTTCGGAACTCTGACGCTGTAGTCTGTCACCGCAGACTTTTTGTTTTCGAGGTATTTATAGAAGTGCCCGGGGAACTCGAGGGCGAAGGAGTTTCCCAAAATTTTCATGGAAACGTGGCAATCCGGTTTTTAACTTCGGTCGCTAGCGTAAGGGTGAACCTTCCGTATTGCGAATTGGGTCGAGGAAAACTCGCGCTTTGGATTCCAGTGAATTACATTTGAATTTCAAGCGTGCCTTCGATGTCATTTGTTTCGCGGAATGGAGGTTTATAAACATCTCACGGAGCTGTCATACGTATTTGACAGTACGGGAGTATTTGAATTCATCACGCTCCTTCCCACCTGTTCGACGTCTGACAAATTTTCATTCACTCTTCCGTCAATTTCCAAGTCAGCGACGAAGCTTTTCCTTCATGGACGCTCTTCGTGCCCTTTGAATGACATTTACGCACTTTGCGGTATAAATAAGGATACGCGAACCTCGCATTAAGTTCGTAAATATCAACCGGATGGTTCTCACGGTTCCCCCGTTCAATTTCTAGAGTCTAGAATTCACGCGTCGAAGTTACTACCTCCCGCGAGAAACATCCGCCCGCCTCCCGCGACGAGCGCGCAAAAGCTTTTTAAACCGTACTCCATTCTCGAGCACCTATTCACCGTGCGACTCGCGAGAACCCGCTGTCGTACGTCGGGGAACATAGAAAGAAAAACAAGATTTGTTGGACAGCGTAATTATGCGCGGCGTATCCGTTCGCACCTTGGAACGCGGCTGTTATTCCCCGGAGACGAGACGAATAATCGCAGGCGGAGCGCCTCTTTGTCTGATAGCTAGCGCGCGTTTGAGGACACCGGGTAACGTAGAATTACCCGCGCCGCGTAATCGAATCCGGTGTGTGACTAAGAACCCGCCTAGGATTCCGTGAAAATGCGTCCCGCTCGCCTCCTGATTGTCACGTAAGCTCGGAATCCTTACACCTCGCCGACTTATCGCGGTCCGGTTCCATCGCGGAACCTTGACCTACCGTGCGCGAATCAGTCGGCCGGCCGGCGAGCCCGTGTCACAAATCCGCGTGAGTATTGATTCTAGAACGGTGACGCGCCGCCCGCGACGAAATCTCCTGCGAGAACTAGACCAAACTGGCCCGCCGGAAACGTAAACAAAGCGAGATTTTGCGGGACCGGGGCCTCTTCCGGCCGACCGGCTCGTGTTAACGTCCACTCGCGCTGAAACGCTTACGGCAGGCATCTCACGTCTCTGCCATCTGCGAGCTAAGGCCGAACGAGCCGCTCCGCAGGCCGAGTCGATTCAGTGGACTGCGAATTTTTCGAGACCTTAATGGCGAAGGGTTTCACCGACGCTTACCTTCTTGTGCTTAAAGTTTCCTTAATAAAGAATTAACACTGACATCCACTTTGAAATCGACGATGGACGACGAAAGGTGTTTTTTGATAATTGATTCTTGGGGAATTCGATGAAGATTTCTTAGTTTCAGAATAAAATGTATTTATTTATAATACTGCCATTGCTGTCATTTGCATCTATATCGGACGACTAGACGGCATTTACATCGAGTTTGTTATTGTAATTGTAACAATGTTGCCAATAGTAATAACAATCTTGTACAGCTGTTTCAATGTTACGAAATGACAGAGACTGTTTTGTATACAGCGTGATATTAAATTGATTTCAGAAGCCAGAGCGATTAGATTCTATAGCTTAGCGCGACGAGGACGAGCCGAGCTTCAGCGAACGTCGCGTCTTCTTCCGTCGGTGTTCTTCGTTAGACGTTTCGACTAATAATAAAAATGTATCCGAAAAGCAAACAGCAGTCGCTGCCCCTTGCTCCCGCGTGCAGTTTCGGTTTGCTGGTGGCAGGGGGAGACGCGAGGGGCGATGTAGTACGTGTTTGTTACGCCGCGCGCGACTGGCACGAGGAATAATAAATCCTCCGGCACCGCTTAGTATGCCGGAATATTCAGCCGAATGGCTGATCTTTTATTTATCAGTCCTTGCGACGGACGAGGAAACCGATCGCTCCCTCGTCATTTGTTCGCCGATTTCGCGGGGAAGCACCGGCCTGCAGCTTCCATTCGATTCGGCCGCGTCGCCGAAGGGACACCCGGGATTCCCATCGATCTATCGAAGTTGCGCAAGTGTTCCGCGATGGGACACGGTTACGTGACCGTTAGGTGGCACACGCCTGCCGCTAATTCCCTCGATTCCGACCGAAAACGCTGTGCGAGTCTCGTAATTGCCTCAGGGCTTTTAGCTTCTGACGTCCGACGATTGCGCACTGCGCAGTCCTCGGAAACTGGGTGGGAAATTGAGCAGGAATTCTAGGAAAAGCCATCAGGCTAATCACCAGCAATTTCTCTGAATACGTAATTAGTCCTTAAATTTCTTTAACTGGCTATATCCTCGTTAAAGTAACGACGAGTCTTTAGTACGAGTCTCGAATGCAAGAAACTGTTTCAGACACCGTAGAGTCTAAGGATGTATTTTGAATCGTTGACGGTAGCTACCGAAAGCTTAATTTCTCCAGCATTAACTAACTGTGCTTATTAAAGTAACAGCGAGTCTTCGGTGCGAGTCTTGAACGCAAGAAACTTCGAACACTCGAGTTGAAGGAAGTATTTTAAATACCTGCCGGCAGCTTCCGGAAGCTTAATTTCTCCAGCGTTAACTCCGCTGCGCCCTTAAGATAATTACAGTAACATTTTATAGATTGCAAAACAGTGGGCGTTCCGTGAAGTTCACATTGACCCAAATGGCTCTTCCCAGCAATCAAGTTAACTTCCGATCCACTGTTTTAATCGGATTAGAAGGAAACGCGGTAAAGGCTTTGACGAGAGCCACGCGCTTCGCGTCGCTCGGTACTTCGGCTTTAATTGTATGTGACCCAAATGGCGCACGATGGTTAAACGAACGCGGTCTACGAAGGAAAGGCCTCGCAGGGAAATGTATGTCCAATTCGCGGCTCGGGGTCCTTGGGAGAAATCTATGGTAATAAATTCCACGTGTGCGTTCTGTGCTATACTAACATTTGATTTTCATAGGTATCTGCACCACCACCGACGTGGACACGCTTCTCTATCACATGAACAACGCGAGGTACCTCCGCGAGCTGGACTTCGCGCGAGCGGACTTCTACGAGAGGACGAGCCTGTACCGCGAGATCTGCTCGCAAGGGTCGGGGGTCGTGCAGGGGGCAGCGACCATTCGGTACCGTCGGTTCGTCAAGCCGCTGTCTATCTTTAAGATAACGTCCAAGGTATGAACGCCACGCGTCAGAGCCTCGTTGCGTTTGCTCAAAATATTATTCCATCGAACACGGACAACTGATTTCCATGAACAAGTGGAACGATTGTCATTCAGACCAAGCAATTCGCTGACAGTAATTCATTCAGCTGGTTATCCTGGACAAACATTCTTCAAATCGATTTGATTAGTACTCGATAGCGTCGAATATCATTAGCACTCGCAACGTCCGATGCCAGAAACCTGTGGAACAGCTTCTATACCGCCACTTGGCACTCCACGAGCGGCTGAATCCTTTACGAACCTCATCGATCGACGCTGGAATCAAAACAATCCGACGAGAGGTTCTAACGTGGCCCACGAGTGGTTCGATCATTCTCGCAAACACTTCGTCTTCGAAAGCGGAAGACGGATTCGCGTCGGAAACTTCGATGTTCTCCCGACACGCGTTCGGACACGTGGATACAGGACTCGGAATTAGTTACGGCACACACCGTGCCGCCGCTAATGACTTAGTCACCTTCCGTTTGTCTCCAGTCGATTGTCACGAGAATTCCCTGTGACTTTTACTGTTGCATCGGAAGATGATTATCTCCGTCGCCGGCGCGCTGGGGAATTATCAACATTTAGTTTCGATAATTTCTCGGAAAACCGATGAAGCCTGCGCCCCTTCCGCTCGCGGCTTGTGTGGACAGTGTTTTAGCGAGGGCGACGAGCGGGCGAGAAGTGCGCGAGCAAACGAAGGCTTTGTTCCTCGACGTGCCAATTGGAGGAACAAACGGTGGTATTTCCTATTGACCGGTTGCATAAAACCGCGTCAAAATATTGAGATATGTAACACTCGCGGAAGAACTTTGAAAAGTGAGAATGTCGTCGATTATGTCACATTTCGCGAGAACGTTGTATCTTTGGTTCGTAACGCAAGGGACAAACGGGAAACTGTTAGACGTTACTTTGCGTACCTACCTTTACAACCTACATCTGTTTTTCATGCAGTTTATCAACTTATAAAAATTCATTTCTTCGGTACGAGTATATCGGTCCTCTTCTCGGGCAGAATTGCTCAGCTTCAAGTATAACAGTTTTTACTAAATATTGTTTTACATAAGATGTTTCAATTTGTATAATAATTCAGGAATATAGGCGCAGAATTCTGTTCGTTTTGCTTGCAGATAAAATTTGATCTTTTGCTCTGTTCGGGGCGAATGCCTCGCGCCGAAACCGATTTCCGGCTTCGAATGACAGATCCGACCGGCGATTACAGTTTCGTATGCACAAAGCGAGCGCGTGACGCATCTCGGACGATGCATTCTATCCATCTTAGCGATCAATTTGATGGCCGTGTACACGGAATATGAAATCGTAGACAATCAGACGGTTTGTCGTAAAACGAAGATTTAATTGTTCTATTCCTCGGTCGGGTGTCTCGTGCTTTTTATGGAACCGGCTGGAAGATATTGCGCGACCGTATTTCCTCGAGCAGTCATTAATATTATTTGCGAATCATTGTCGCAGGAAATGGCTTCTTTCTAAGGAATATTTTGCATGTGTCGTTGCGACATGATTTATTGACAGTTCGACAGGATCGAAAGACTTAGTGTGACTACTTTGTTATTCCTCGGAAGATTGTTTGAATTCTTTATCCATCGTCGTGTTTTTACAGGATTTTTCTATGTTCTTATTAAGTTTGTTTATACTTCATCGTATCTTTCACTTACCTTTAACATTCTCAGCGTAATCCTCGACTGCACTTCGTTTTTACAGTGCATTGTATAAATCAGTGAATATAGCTTGGTGCTTACGATGCTCGCTTGTGCGACAGGAATAATAAGAATAATAACTGTCGTGAAAACAAGAAACGTTGATAATAATGCCAATTATAGTACTGATAGTAAGTATTGCATCACACTGATTGGCGTGGACGCTAAAAATACTCGGAAATGTGTGCAAGATGAAGTTCCCTTTAACAGGTTTCCACGATAATACTAACATAAACCAAAGAAAAAATCTATGTGCAGTCAATAAGAGGATATAACGATTTGCATGTGTCTAGCTGAGTTGATTAAGAATCAGACAATTAGTTGCATTAAAGATTGAACGATAGATTGAATTGAAGGTTCGTTAAACTGGGTCAATCAATAGAATTAAACATTGGAACATTAAGAACTGACGAACCTGGACGATTCATTTCATTAAAAATCTAATGATCAACTTAATTCAATCTCGGCATTAACATAATTTCTTAATTGATTCGAATCATTCTCCTCTTTCAGATAATATATTGGGACGAGAGGTCGGTGTTCATGGAGCACAGGTTCATCACCCCTAACGACGGGTTCATCCGGGCGATCGCGATTTGCAGGCAAAGACTGTTGGATTGTAGCGCCGAGGCTGTGATCGGATCCCTCATGGAACGAGGAGTGAAACAGACCGGTAACGTGGAGGCAGGCGTCACTCAGGTACACTCCATTCCGAACGAAAGATTTCTGATTGTGTCTGATCATTTCGTAACCAACGTCGTATTTCGCGCAATCCGCGCAACACCACGGTATCGTGGAACCTAATTACGAGACTCGCCATTCGAAATGGTCATAAGGAATTCGGTGATCCAGCGGAACATTTAGAAAGTTCTATCACGAAACAAGATTAGATACGCACGAAATGATCTGATACTGGAGAAACCACTTTCGTCGTTCACAAGTCGGTGACCAACTCCGCATTCCGAAGACTCCCAAACTTCAATGTCGAAACACTTGATCAACACATCTGTAATGGAACTGATTGTGTCGATATATTGATGGAAATGATTGCCAATATATCTATATTGATAGAAACATAGCAAACATCTACGTAAACATTTGAATTATATTAATGGAAATGTTACCGGATATAGAATATTTCAAAATTTCCATGTTTCCACCCACATACGTTCCATTCGAATCGAACGGCACACATATAACACACGTTCGCTTCTCAAGATTCCTAAAATTGATTTAAAATTAATTATTCATTCAATATTGTTTCACTTTCAAATACTTCTGTGCGTCAATGTACGCAGTGTCCTCGAATTGTCCTGCTCCTCGCGTCCTAATAAGAGTTGATCACTTCGCCAAGTGAATGGCTGATTTATTAATGGCTGATATTAAAATTGATCGCATATATTACCGCACGCATATACCGCAGATGCCGCACGTCAGGCCGGAGATGCCGCCGGAAGTCGCCAGGTGGCTAGAGAGCAATGAAATCTCGTCGGCGTTGCTCCGCCAGGCCGCTGCGGTGACGACCAATTGCTGACAAAGGGAGGATACGCCTTCCACCACGAATGGCGTCGTTTCCGCTTCCGTCTACGCAACCACGACAGTATAAAGGTCGAACGTGTTCGACGAACTCGCCGGGCGCACCGGTCTCTTCGGACTGTTCACGGGTCAGCTTCGGGTTCAACCGTTTCAAGGCGACAGGACACGAGTGATCGTTACGCTTAAAAGCTTTTACAGGCCGTGATCTTGATCGCGCTCTTGTAGATCGTTGCGAAACGATCGGACGCGAACGTGTACACGGTGTCAAAGAAAGTACCTTCTGATCTATGGGAAACAAGATGCACGTATACAGGGTGTCCCGCGGTAGATGTTGCGAGCCTGTGTTCACGAATCCATCGACCCCTGAATTCTAGCGTAATATCGAGCTTAGGATAAAGTTCTCGATCGAACTCGACGAATCATTCCTCGAAGTCGACACTTGATTCTCCTGTTATCGACGCTTTGCTCTCGACGATGTTTCTCGTTATAAATAGTCGTCACTGATGAAGCATCGATGATACTATTTGCAACTAACGCAAGAAAGTGTCCTGCGCTGACGAAGGAACTTAATTATTTTATTTCATACGTCGATACGTTACAGAAAGTTCAATATAGAATTTTGAATTTGACGATTCTATTGCGTTGCATCGAATGGAGACTGATAGTCGCTCATTGAGCGCAAGGGTTAATACTTAACACTTGGTCAACCGCGATAATCCTCAATTATGAACAATTCCACTTCGAAACTCGTTAAGTAACAAACGAAGTAAACAATTAGAAAGACACCGCGTTTCTAATTGTAATGGATCAAACCTCCCCGTTCGGTTGACCAAGTGCTTAACCCTTCGCACACGTAACATCGCTTCCGAGGCGACAGTTTAAATATAAATATTCGATAATTTACACGTGGAACGTAACATATTAAAATCTCCGAGCGCAAAGGGTTGATAGTTGCGGTACACGTAGAAACACGCCGGTAGAATCCCCGTCCCCTCCAGTTATCCGCAAAACAAGTCGCGCGGCATTTAAGAGAAAAAGATTTTCCAGCGACCAGCGGTCTCAGCGAAGGTTACACAAATGTACATAAACGCGTCGCAATTTATAAAAAGCCTGTTTGTACGGTGCAGTTTAAAAAAGACGATTACGTACAGCAGGGTTTAAAAAAGGCGATCGCGTCGACGTCAATGCGTTCGTGAGTATTGGCTCGTAACGCGTTTGGTTATATACCCTGTGTATAGATATATATCTATGTACATGTATATATTATATATATATATATATACATACATATATATGTGTACACATATATACAGAAAGAGAAAGAGTACAAAAAGAGAGATAGACGAGAAACTATTTTGCTAGGCGACGCGATGACGTGGTTTCCGGCCGTGGGTTCGCCTCCCCGCGATAAACGGCGGAGAAATGCGTGTTCGAGCGGTTCGGTGTTTCAATAGAATCCCGATCACGGGACTACGTAAGTACTTACATAGTATATACACAAAAAGGCTGCCACGGTGACTTCAAAGAAGACTCCACCGAGGTCGAGGATAGAGCGCTACTGTAAAAACGGAGCTTCCAAAGCTTGGTGGATCGGCTCCGCCGGATGTTCTTCGTTGACGATCGTTGTCGATCGAGGTTCCGCGCGACCCACGTTATTTACAATCTTTTTTATCGTTGATCACCCGAGCCCGGCGTCGACGGAACGATCGTTTCGGAAGCGAGGTCGAATCGCGCGGTACGCCATTTGCAGGACAAACGGGAATCGTAACAATCTATTTTACGAGCCGATGCCGAGAACAGAGGCGTTTATATTTCTACAATGCACTCGACGTGCCTTCACGCGGATCGTGACTGCGAATCGCATTCCAGGCGGTTCGGGACGTAAACGTTTTCATTCCTTTTCTTTCTCCGTTCACCTCGCCGGTTTCGGCGTCTTTCCGGGGAACAGGAGCTGCGCGCGCACTTACAATCGATTCTTCAAGTTGTACGAGGTCTCCATCGCCTGCGCCGGTTTCCGGGCGAACCGCGTGGAAAAGTCTCTCCTCCTACCGAATGTTTCGACTTGAAAGCCGCATCTCGTAGTTCGGTCATTTATGTAGGCGCGGGCTTAGCCAGCCCCGACAGCTCTAGCATTGTGCACGTACGTATGCGGAGACGTTATTATACTTCTAGATAATAATAATTGTCACTGTGTCAAGATAATATTGTGTTGATAATCATGTCATCGACATACCACTGTCCAGAGAAAGAAACAAAATAAATATACTTTAGATGGTTGACGAGTCCTCCGTCGCATCAAGTTCTTCATCAGCCCGCCTCGGTGTTCCATTGATTTTTAACGATAGGCTTAAGTTTCTTTTGTTGTTTCTTTAGCACGGTTTTGTCTATTGCTCGTAGAAGCATCGGTGTTCGTTCGTTTGCATCCTGGAAATTAGGGATTTAAGAGTAGATCGTTAAAACGCGTACTCGCGTGATTGCATCGATTGAAACGACGTAAACGTTTGCCAAGTGGCGTTTATAGAAATCCATGCGCGTCAAATCGACGCGTTCCGCAAATCTAGTGTTAAGTTTATACGTTAACGGATTTACTGCACTCGTGTATAATTCCTGAAGATATTAGGTTACGTTCCAAGACCAGTTATAACTGACATTAAGAAATCGATTGAAAACAGATTATCTTCTTTCTCGTTCCTTTTCCAAGATTACTAACTTTTCACGAATGTTTCCTATCTCTCGCGAATCGAAGCCGCCGCCGCACTGCAACAATCGAAAACCTACTTTACAGGGAACGAAAGACTGTTTACATCAACCACCCGTCGACTGCATCTCATATTTTCATTTCGTGTCACGCAATGATACTCACGCGCTCCGTTGCTAAAACAAAAACCTTTATTTACCCAATGATGTGACATTCGGTCGTCCATTTTACCGCTTCGCCGATAACACGCATCCATCGTTTCTTCGCAATAAGCTTTTAATCGTCCAACGTTCAACGCGGCATCAAACTAATTACGCACGTGTCACGTCGAACGTAATATCCGACGGAATCAACGGAAAATTAATAAACAAACGTGAGGAACATTGTTGACAGTCGACCAGAAGGAATGGGACTTGTGTCACGTGCGCGATGACCTAGTACTTTGACCGTTGAAAACGCAACGAACGTGTACCGTTGGTTGATTAAAATAGAGGTTCGTCTCGCGAGGAACCGGTTGCGTCTTCCTGTAGTAAGGAGCGAGCCGGCTGTTTGGAATTTCACCGTGGCCGCTCGCAGTCTTCCGTGAACTGTGGCACAGTGACGTCCGCGCGCCGGCAGCTCGCTCTATTTCCCTGCGCCGTCTTGTCCTTAGAAAACAGCCTCAGAAAAATGGTCTGCGCTTGTGCCCTGACGATCTTGCTCATCCTCTACATACTGTTCGACGTCAACTACTTCCTCAGATGTGCGTTCACGGTCCTCAGCGGTCGACTGCTCCGGAAAAAGAACAACAGCATCTTCGACGTCACTACTACTTATGGTAAATACCGTTTTTACGTCTGATGTGCTTGTAGAATTGTTCAATTTATTGTTATATTACTTCTGATGTTGTTTCGTTGTTCGAGGAAAATGTCTTGTATTGTTGCTGTAGCTGGACTCGAACCCCAGAATTATCGATGTCAAATAGAATTGTGTATTTTAAAGAGTTTAATTGTGTAAGTTTCAAGAAATTAGATGTGAAATTAGGTGTTTGGTAAACAAACAAGGTTTCCATGGGGAATAAACTGGACTCTGGTTTCACGGTTCTCGCAGCAGTATAAAATATGTTCGTCGGTGCACTTGAATTTTTATAAACATTCGAAGTTAGTTCTTTTAGGACGATAGGAGTATTGTCTAAGACAAACAGTTCTTCGTATTTCTTCATCTGTTTCCGTTTACTTCCGGGTATTTTTATTCAATATTTAGCGAATTGCAAGTTACAAGTCTCGTTTGAGTAAAATCATCGTATGTATATTGTTGTAGATAGTTGCGAGTGTTGAACGCAAATTTAATTATTATGTAGATCGTTGCGTGTTAACGCTTTCCCTATTGTTTCGGTTCGTAATTAGCTTACGCATGTTTTATTAATGAATCTGTTATAAAAGTCAAATATTCATGCGTGTAAAGTAATATTTTGATTTAATCGGTGTGCATTGAACAATGTTTGTGTATGTCAAGTTCAATGTATGTCATTAACAGTGAGCTTGATTTCATATTAAAAGTATTGGTTAATCAAAACTCATTAAGATATTTCTGTATTGTTTATATCAATCTTAATTATATCGCTAATGAAAGCTGTTTTGATAATGCATATATATCATACACTTTATGTTACATAATTTATACAGTGCAAATACTTAGCGACACTCGTGGAGTCATTCTTGTTTCATATTCATGCATTCTACGAATACATTGAACTCTAACACACGTGATCCCAATGCCTTCAAATTTACACTTCAGATACTCTAATTCACCGCTCAGACAGCTGTCGCATTAATGTTTCATTAGTTACATCGACTTACAATACAAAGAGGACGTTTACATTTAAATAGACGATAACGAACAGCCGAAGAAACTATCAACAGTGAGTTCAATAGAATGAAATTTAATAACCAATAAACTGATAATACTGATCAAACTGTACAAACTGATAAAGTAAAAAAGAATAAAACTGAATATAAACATTGACTTTTAGCTCATACCGATCTAAGCAGCATGAAGATGCCTTTGACATTTCGATTAACACTTCAATCCTTGACATTCGCGTACTTCCGTTTGCATTTACAGATGATTAATTAATGCACCTTGTATCATCCGAGAATTTATAGTTTCTACGTGGATACACTTGAAATTACGGATTCGCAAAATCGACCGAATGCTTGTTCGATAAGCGACAGCTTGACTCGACGCTTCCTCAGCGTATCAACGTACCGGATAACAATTCCAAAGTCGACAAACAAGATAGCCATTCGATGTGAATCAGTTTCCAAAACGGTCTACCGTTTAACAATTGAACGAACCCGTGTGAAATGTTGCACGTAAGCTAGCGCCGCATAGTCACCAGTGTTTCCTGCGTTTGAAATTCTACTATTGACGTCAATTGACCTGCCGACGTCATCTATCTATTGTATTCAATTATCTTCATTCTGCAGATTCACTTGTCTCACATAAATTAAAAATATTTACGAAGGTCGTATCGATTCCTGTCGTTCGAACGTGACTTACAACGGAAGTTTAATAACAAAGTTTCTCAGTTGTAATCGTCGCACCGTGTTTATATAATATTTCATAAGCTGAATAATCATTCCGCAGGAATATGCAGCACTCAAGACGTCGATCTCGTCCTGAAGCACATGAACAACGCGCGTTACCTTCGTGAATTAGACTTCGCGCGGTTCTATTTCTGGGATTCCGTTGGACTTTATGGAGAAATTAGCAAAAGAGGCGGGGGCGTGGTGCAAGGTGCGATGTCGACCCGATACAGGCGAGCCATTCCTCTTCTAACGCCTTACAAGATCACCACGAAGGTATTACCAATAGCTTTTACCTTCGATTAACTTCCAGTTTCGTTTATTCATTTATCTAGGTACCTTCACAATTAATTTTGCTCTAATATACACGAAAAGATGATTTGAATTATAGTTGCATAGCTTTTGGAAATTATAATAGTATAGTTGTCTGTATCATTGTTTAAGAATCATGTACTTTTTCGTATAATCTTTAAAAATTCTGGATGCATAGTTTTTGTATATTTTTCTAAAGCTACACCAGTATAAATTTTAGTTAGTACAAAAAATTGTAGTCGCATGGTTTGTGTGATTCTTTCAAAACAATGGTACAGTTCATTCTATAATTTCCTTTTCAATTGTATAGTTTATTGTATAATTCTTATAAATCACAGTTTGAAATTATTATTCCACATAAATTATATTTATGTCTGTTCGTATATCTCAGTAGACTATTTACTCAGTTAATGGCTTAACTGACATTAGATTATCGAACCTTAAATGTCAATCTCATGCGTCATTCTGTTAACATTAAGTTACAAGGTTTTTCCACGATTTCGTCGCACCAGGCAACGTGTGTTCACGCGCAAACCGGTTGCAATGTTACAGATGATTTATTGGGACGAAAAGAATCTGTACTTGGAGCACCAATTCATCAGTTTGACCGACGGTTTCATCAGGGCAGTCGGTCTCAGCAAACAGACGACCTTTGGCCTCAAGGTCCCTCTGGGTGACGTTATCAAGGAGCTGGAGCCGGAAGCTAAGTTGCCAGAGGTCACGAAAGAGCTGCAATTGTGGATGGATTCCATGGAGCAGTCCTCCCAGAAGTTGAAGAAACGTGACTGAAAATGATCTAGGAACTTTGTTAGTTCCCAGGATAATTCGGTGTATTTATATTTCTATTAAAAAGTATTTGATTCGATGATCAAAGTACTTGTCTTTCTTCAACGAAACGAAATACCAAAGAATAGTTTCTGTTTTACTAAGTCTCTGTTCGACTCGATCGAACGGTTCATTTCGTTTTCTTTAATTTTAATATAATACCTTAATGAACTTTCAGTTTTTCGTACTTATAGATACGTCTGTGTTGAACAATCAAATACTTTTTGAGGCGTAGCGCATATTTTCCATAGAACTTCTCTGTTGCTCAATTAATTTATTTGTTTCGCTTTAGCTAGCATCATTGACACTTTAATTAGAGCTTCGTTTCTTGTATCTTTGACTGACAGAAATTTAGTTCTGTCTCGATGTTGATGGATTTTGTATGTTCCACGCGGTCTCTGTAGCTCTTAAGGAACAATGAGAATTCCAAATTGGCGAGGATAATATTAATTACTCTATGATTATGCAGATTCACAAGAAGTCGTCTTCGTGTTGTAAGGAACATGATAAATTATAATTGGTGAAAATAACTGGTTACATTTAATGAAATATTACATACATATTTTGACGTACACAATGTTTTGCTCGTATCGTGTTCGCTGTAAACACTTCTCGTTCTCATATTCATGTTTTAATTACCAATCAAAATACTTGCAACACGTTCATAAATTATTCCATGCATAATACTTGCACAGATGTAATGGTATCCATAAAATCTTTAATCGCACACATAAACAATTTCTTTCTAATACGATACTCGTTAGAACAATACTCTCTATTTTTGCACTACAAAATCATTTATTATTTTTCTCTAAATACTCAGTTGTTCAAAAAATCACCACACCTCTTTTCAAGCGTAGTAAATAGCATTTAACACTATTATCAAAAGATTATTAATTATTTTGAATACAATCAATTGATTAATACATTAATCACTAAATAACATTCACGTTAGTCAATAGCAATTGACGTTTCTATCCGTGCAACCAGTGCTTTGGTCCATCAGAAATCAAGAATATTTGCACCGAACAAAAGTGTTCCAACATTTTTTTTTTACAAACAGACGCGTACATAACGGACCGTAATAAATTAAAACCTGTTCTTCTGAATCGTTCAGCGTGATCGCTCCGGGCGGAATTCACAGGACTCTGGGAATGATGACGGTTCGGTGTCATCGACGTTATTGCGCGGTGAAATAGGAACGAATATCGAAAAAAAGAACAAAAAAGGAACGAGATTCCTTCTTTTACAGCCTGTGACACGACCTTTCGCCGCGTAATCTGTCACAGACCACAGTGCTGTAGATAGTCGGATTACGAGGAAAAAATTCTGAAATTAATTTTTTTTATTGATCTCAATACGTATTGTAGGAATTTGAGTTATAGAGGTTTTCGAATGATTAGGTTTACAAATTACAGAAGTTTGAGGTTGTACAGGTTCTCGAGTTTAGAGGTTTAAGTTGTAGAAGTTCTAATTATAAAAATTTGGGTTGTGGAAGTTCGAATTATAGAAGCTCGAATTACAGAAATTCGAGTTATAGAAGATCGAATTACAGGAACCCAAGTTATAGAAATTCAAATTACAGAAATTCGAGTTATAGAAGATCGAATTACAGAAATTCGAGCTTTAGAAGTTCCAATTATAGAAGTTCGAATTACAGGAACCCAAGTTATAGAAGTTCAAATTACAGAAATTCGAATTATAGAAGTTCGAATTACAGGAACCCAAGTTATAGAAGTTCGAATTACAGGAATCCAAGTTATAGAAGTTCAAATTACAGAAATTCGAATTATAGAAATTCAAGTTACAGAAATGCGAATTATAGAAGTTCGAATTACAGAAATTCGTGTGATCGAGATTCGACTGCACCGCAACTCGCTACGCGTTCAAGTACCGTGTACAGTACACGAAACATTTACTGATAGTCATAATCTTACACCATCAATTTTCGACTTTTTTCCTCTCACGATTAATTATACGCTCTAGATCACCGTGCGGCGCGGTGCCCGTTTCACACGTGAATTTCCATGGTTCCCGTCAGATGGCGACTTTCGTTTCGCCCGCGTGACTGATGGAGAACGGATGTGCGAGAGTTCTGCACGTTCCTCCCGTGCAGTCGATCCCGGGCACTCGAAACCTGTCGCGAACGCGGGCCGACCTTTGACTTCGCTTTCCATGAACTTTCGTGGCCTGTCCAGTGTTGAAGAGCTCCTGACAGCTCCCGGCGACCGTGCACTGGACCACGTCCACCTTCATCCCACCTGTAAGTGACAGCACGGTGTTTCCAAAACCATCTTCCGGCTTTCGTCCCACGCTTCCGCTTTTTCGAATTTCTCGCGCACGTAAATACCTCGCAATTCACAATATCTTTCTATCTACCCGACTCGACAAATCTGAAACATGCATATGACAACCCTCTCTTTTTAATCGAAACATTGCTAAAAACAATTGAATCTGAACGAATCTTTATATTTTCGAAGATTGATCTGATTCAGTCTTCATTTAACCTGACTTAACAGAATCAGGAATAATACGTGACGATTCTTCCCTTTTAACTGAAACATTAGAAAATGTCAATTGCTGAATGATTCTCGTTCGAACATCTCCCGAGGTTGATCTAATTTACAGTTCCCTTTCGTATAACTGATTTGACAGATTCAGAAATGGGTATACGATAAATTCTTTCTTCCAATCTAAACATCGATAGACAACATAAATCACATTTGGACGATCCTCTTCTCCATACTGGAGATTGATAAACACTGATTTACGCAGTTCCCGATCAGTTCAACGATTTGTCAAATCTCCACACCGATCGCACTCTCGTTCATTCTATTAATAAATATCAACCTCTCGCAGACTGTCTTCCAGTTTTCCTCATTCACTTTCGATTTCCTTTCTATTTGCCTAAATACTCCAAATCCTCTCTCTCTATCTCTCTCTCTCTCTCTCTCGCTTAGAAAGCTCGTTTCCTCGGGACGCGATGGCAACGATATTTTCATTCGATTGATCGCGCCCCCGATAAACAACGCTGCGTTTCGCGTACAAGTGTCAGCAATTGCCGCGCGACCGCAGCGGGATCGTTTTACAGAATTCCGCGTGGCAAGCGTAAATTAAAGGAGACACAGGCCGAGGAATAATCAGCTGTTCGCCGCGGTCGCGTTTACGTGTGTACATTTTTCCCGTCCGTTTCCGATCGGCACGCGGCCGCGTTACGTCGGAACAAGCGCGCGCTTCCGGTCGCGATGTAAAATCAATCGAAGGCCGCTCCGCACCATGGAGGCGAATTAGCATGTGCGACGCCTCCGCGGCGAACGATTTGTACGCAATAACCCGGAGAAAACCGTGCAATTACATCAGGCAGATTTTTGCGCAATTAGATACGCTATTGTCCGCCGTCCGCGCGCCGCACGCCGGCGATCGAAACGGCGAAACTTACTTAATTCCCGGCTTTTTCCCGATTTCCTCGCGATTCCTCGCTTCGACAGCCTCCTCCGATGCCGCGTTGGGCGATGAAATCCAATCGCGCCTCGCCGCTGTCCCATCAGCCTCGTTAACGCCTTGACTGTCAATTAAAGCGAGCCTATCTCGATAATACGATAAATTCCTCGACGCTCCAGTAACCGCGTCTTTCCACGCACATATTTTCGCGAGACAATCCAGTGAGATCAGGATTAAACGGGGAGCTTGCAGTAACGATCCCATAAGCGAAGTTATTAAACTTTCACATGATTTTCATTCGCGGGAGATCTGACAGCGCGTTCCATGGATTATATAAAACAGAGGAAGTACATAAAATATCCGAAACGCAGTTCTAACGGTTGTTTCCGGAGTAATACTAATTTCTCGTTAACTACGCGACTCCGTTTTCATAATTGCGTTCTTAAAAGTTGGATATCGCCGGAAGATGCACAGTTTATTCACGTTCATTCACGTATTCGACTTATATGTACCATGAATGAATCCCGTTTCCAGATGCAACGGTGGCCTTGAGCGCCATTAAAATTTCTCTCGGCCGCGCCACGGTGTTCCCGGGTAATTTATCATGCTCATCGTGAATTGATATCAACTGATACGTCGACGTGAACCGGTTCGCCGTGAATTTCTTCGCTCGGCCGGCGGCGATCCGGCGAATTATCCTCGCCAAGGCTCGCGGCAATTTTGTCGCGTGCACCGCGAGACCTCGTTAGCCTCGGCGAGACGCCTCTAAGCCGTCCCCGAGAAGAATTAATTCGTTGCCAGCGGACCGCCGCGGCCTAATGGTCTGAATCGTTACGTCAGCCCGCGCGGTTTCCGCGTAACAATTCGCTCCCGAAAAAAAGGGGCCGTTGTTTCGCCGGCTCGACGCGCGTCGACTCGTTCGTGACCACGGTCAAATTTTAAATACCCGCACTGCGAAGCGATAACCTATCTAAGTATTTTGATGCCGTCGTATCAACGGTAATTAACGGCGTCACACGTATGCGACGCGTGGTTGCGTGTCAACCCTTTTCCCAGATGGAGACTTGTAGAAATACATTTATCCGCACGACAGACGTTGACAGTGGAACTACCGAGTAGTCGAGCTGTTTTTATGACATTTAGAAGCTCTGAATGTTTGAGAGTGAACAGTTAGCGAGAGTTCAACTGACAATTGTCGCTCAGAGGGCAAGTCGATTTTTGATATTGATTTTCGTAAATTTTAGTGGAATAGATAATATTTTTGGTTATTAAAGGATTTACTCTTTTAGAAGACGAATTTTCTCAACTTTTCTTTTCTGCAATTTCTCCGATAATCCCTCGTAGAAGCATTCATTATCTTCTCAATGATTTCAATTTTATATTCTACATAGATTAAAGTGTAGGTATCGCGATCCTCTTCTTTATTTCGCCGGATTACGCATGAAATATTTTATTCGAGTTTTATAAAGGCGATAGGATGTTCAATAAAATTAACTACGGAGATTCCTATTGAAAACGCTGGTCGCGAATGCGTTACATAATTGACAGATATTTCGAGTTCAAACTGAACAGACATTGTCCAGTTTCGGACAAACCGTCGAAGCGTGGTCCAGGCAGAAGGCGCTCGGAACGCCGACGCGTTCGCGTCGCACAGTTTCGTACGTGGGACCCGTTACGTAAGTCAATCGAGACCGCGCATTACATAATAATGATTATGAACGAATCTCATAATCAAGCTAATGGGAATTGTTCAACGACACTGGTCCCGTTCCCCATGAGAAACAATCGTGAGCGCGGATCTCGATCACGGGCAAATTGTCGCGCGATCCGCTCTTCTTCGGGGCGATCTCCTTATTCTGCCCTTCACGCGCGGCGATTTTGTAATTGCGCGAAGGTAACATTGATTCTGGATAACGATCGCGTAACGTCTACGGCCATTACACGTTGTATCGTACCTCTCGTGGAAATGTTTCGTGTGCACCTTGCGGGCAATTTCGATGTTAATCGGTTGCGATTCACGCTGAGATATTATTCGATATTGACGCTTCTCGATTTGGAATTGAGCGAAAATATTGGGAAAGGGGGAAATATTGAGAAAGAAGAATAAGAAATTGTAGAATTTCTGATGCTTCGGAATTTATTCCATTTATTGGAATAAACAGCAACGATTCGTGCTTAGAAATAGACTACTGCACGCAGGCGTCGCTATCGCTAACAGAAGATACGAATTATCAAACGCGCCGGTGAATAATTGAATATTTTCTTACCGAAGATATCTCTGGAAGAATGTTTCTATGTCAATGCTGCAATGATAGTCGAGCAAAATATTCGAGATAACCGAGCTACGTTAATACTGGAACTACCGAGCATTTAATGCGATTGGTATGTAATCTCTATAAAAATTGTAACAATAGATTATTTTCAGTTTGGATATTCATCATAGTACTCAAGTGAAACTATTTCCAAAATCATTTCAAATATTCAATGCTTTTAAGATATTAATAGCTGCGACACAAATCGAAACCAGTCATTTTGATTGATAGTTCTAGTGTTAGGAATCTAGCTCATTTAGTGTTCATCGGCGACGAATAGATAAACCAAGATTTATTGGATTCAAAATTCAGCTGCCAATGATAAGAATAATTGTGGAGATTAATAAAGTTGTTCAATCGTTATATCAGTCTGCGGAATATGAAGCGAGTTCAATTTGAAGGTACCGGTGTTTACGGGCGCGTGTTGGTACGCCGAGGTTCGGGAGCAAGTGTTTTAATGGTGCTCGATTAGAACAGGTTTCTGGATCAAGGACCGTAATCCTCCCCTCGGCCGGGTATTAGGAACGTTAATTAAATGTCGCAGCGGGCCGCTGCGATAATCCGCGGCGCGATCGCGACATCGAGGAAATCGATCGTGCGAACCGGCCGAACCGCCGATTTCTCTTCCCATGCGCCTTTTCGAGGAACAATCGTCGGCAGAATTTTCGTGTTGATACATACCATTATGTCTAGTTTTCCTCGGACTCGTGGGAAATGTCTTTCTCGGGGGCTGATTGGAATTCGCTGTGTTTATGGAATGAAGAATTATTGTGGGTTGGTTAACTTCAGGGAAACTAGATGGATATTACAGCTGTTTGAGATGTTAAGTTAAAATGTTGAAATGAGATTCTGAATATTAATAGTAATTAAAATATTCGGAAGCTTAGAATGTTAATATTATTTAAAACATTGAAATTATAATATTCATATGTATTGAAGTATTATAATGAAACTTGAAATATCAGTGATTCACATGTGGAAATGAAACTTTTAATATTAATTGGGATATTGATATCATACAATATTCATATGTAATGCAATATTTATATGTATTGAAATATAAAATGAAACTTGAAATATCAGTGATTAACATATGCAAATGAAACTTGCAATATTAACATTAATTGGAATGTTGAAATAATATTTAAAATATTGATGTTAATTGCGTGAGCAATTCTTTCTGCAGGTTTTCGAACTTTCATTGTTCGATTATATTTTCATCATTCGAGTCAACTTGCTTCTGCGTTTATATTTGAAATCGTAATGGCTCCGTTGCGTGAGTTTCTTAGTATAATATCGCGGAAACGTCAACTTCCTTTTCGCGACCGGCTACATACATTCCCCGTCGGCCGAAAGTTTGGAATCATTCCGTGAATTGGTAGAAATAGAGATGTGCTTGTTAACCTCTTAAGCGAGGAGAACGGATATATCCGCCTCGGCAAGACAATTGTTCGGTTTATTTAGATGATCTCGTAACGCAAGGATTCCAGAAAGAATATTCATTAAAAGT